TGGCTGCGCTTGATGTGCATGTTGACAAGGTGCCTACCTGTCTGTTACCCACTACCTCGTCCCTACTGGCTCCAGCAGACAGTTGGTCGTTGCTGTAGAGAACGAGGTGCACGGTCCTCGTGGCCGTGCTAGGCTCGAAGAGTGGTTCCATGCACCTAGTGTGCACTGGACTATGGTTCCACAACCTTCTTTTGTGTTGTTCTTGGTTCCCCAAACACAGCGTGCTTATATTTGCATGTGAAGAAGTGTGGGCACGCTCCGTTAATGAAACGTGGCTCCTATCCACATGCCTCCCGGTCTTATTCCTTCGGGTTTGCACTGGATATGGGGTGTGTGGTTGGAGTTGTGGGTAGTGAAGCGCAAGCCATCCATGGTCCCTCTGTAGGCGCAGGAGTCTTGTGGCTGTCGTATGGAGTCCACATTGACATGCAAATCCGGAACCGGATGCCACCAACCCTATAGGTTCATATATATATATATATATATATATATATATATATATATATATATATAATCCGTATATTTCTCTAAAGTGCGAGGAACTCTAGCTAAATTAGGAACAGATCGAAAAGTACGGTAATGTTCATGCTCTTGCATGAGTACATGTTGACGTGGATTTTCAGTTTGTTATATTTTTTGACCGTACTAAAAATTTTTTCCTTAGGTTATTTTTCGGATGAGAACATTTATAAGAACACTTTTCTATCTAAGAATCTGTCGAGTTTCGTATACGATGACACAGGGTTTCTACATATCCGGATTGCGACTGATAGGCTGTTCCACGAGACGGCGTATCTGATGAGGAAAATGCGGCGTATGGTTGTTCTAGTCATTGTTAACAGTAGCGTAACTATTTTCTTGAGGAGTCTGTGATAGTTATTGTCTTTATCTCTCTCTAGGTTAGACAGGTAAGAGTTCGTTTCTTGGTGAAAAACATTTTGTAGGGGCATCACGTTTTGCTTTACACATCCCAGTCAGAGAGGCCCGATGTGAAGCTGCTTGCAACGTTCGCGATCGTCTTAAAGTGGATGTCTTAGTAAACAAATGTTTGGTGAATGACATCTGGAAATTTGCCGTATCATTCCTGTTTAACTTCCGTAGGTTACCATAGATGCAGTTGAAGTATCCGAGAAAAGGACGAGTGTGGGTTTTAAATAATTCCAAATCGGCAGGGACTGTATGGATTTTGTGGCAAATGCTACTCACCGGTTGTCTAGCTCGAGCTATTTGGTATTGTGCTTGTTAAGTAAAACGGAATGTTGTAAAATATCCCATCCTAAGATCAAAGGTCGACTCCCGTTGATTTACTTTGTTGTTAAGTTAAATTGACCCATAGGGGATCGAGCAACTACATGATATAATGTTCGCTTTGTCGGTTGAGAAGTTTATCGGCGAAGTCTCAGATCATTCCTGAAGAGAGTGAAGGTCTTCTTGAATTAAAAGTAGTGTACTCTGGTTAGCATCCCGCTGGAGTTTATAGACAAACTTGATGTCACCAGGAAATAGGAAGATGGACATTCCAATTTTCTTAATATCGAGGAGACAAAGCAGAGGGCTAAGTACATTTCTTTGGATGACGCTAGAAGAACAGTTCTAGTCACCGAACCGACCAACCTCCATGGTGTAAGAAAAGCCAATCTAAAGTGAGTTCCGGATTCCAAAGCATTCATTCGCTTTCTCCACAGCGCTTTGTGTGGCACACGGTCATATGCTTTTTCTAAGTCTTGGAATAAAGTATTACTGCACAACCGGGATCTATGGATTCCGTAGTGTAGTTAAGATTGTAGCTGTCAGTAGCGACTGACCACCAGAGTGGACGGAGAGCAAATCACGTAACGTCCATGTGAGCTAAATAGGATTGTAGGAGTCAAATGGACAACGCAGAATTGACGCCGCTTAGTATGAACCAAGCCCAACATGGCCTCAAGCAAGACAGGTGTGGGACTAAACGGGCTGAACAGTGGACATAGCCAAGCCACTTGGGAGCCAAAACTGGGAAATAGCCAATGCAGAACTAGCGGATCGAAACAGCGCAGAGGTTTGGCATGGAGTTTAAATTATCCTATGGGGTCTGAGGTTGATGTTAAGTAAATCATGCTTATACCACCCAGCTACGCTACACCAACTTACACTTACACTAGATTTCAACCTGGATGAAAAGCATCCCACTTTATTTGCTCTGGTCAATTTTATTATTCTGCTGCATATTCCGTGTCAATTTCGCGTGTTTATTTTCTTCGGATGACTTGTTGGCCATTTGATAGCTCTGGTGTGACTGCGCTTGATCTGGATGTTGACAAGATGCCTACCTGTCCAAAAACTGCTACTTCAATTACTGGCTCCAGGAGACTGCTAATCTTTGCTGGACGGATGGGGTGCACGGTCCTCGTGGCCGTGATAAGCTCAAAGAGTGGTTCCATGCATTTATTGTGAAGTGGACCATGGCCCAGCCACCGTCTTGTATACGTCTGGTACGCCTGATTTCTCAACTAGGCATAAATGCTTCTACTCCGCCTGTGAAGAAGTGTGGACCGGCTCCGTTGAAGAAACGTGGCCCAAATCCACATGCCTCCAGGTCTTATTTTTGCGGACCGCCGTTGGATATGGAGTATGTGGATGGAGTTGTAGGTGGTGCAGCGCCAACCACCCACGGCCCCTCTGTAAGCAACGAACTATGTGTCGTTTTCACTTCAAGTATACAAAGATTTAAGAATGGGTGTATTGTCCTATCCAAATTGACTTTCGGTGGACGCTCCTTTTTCTGCTTAGCAATATGTCCATGAAAGCTAACTTTCATTTTTTGGGTTCACTTATAAACTTGACCAATTTCAGCCTAGTATTTTATCCTGTTATAATTGCTCAATCAGTTTTATGCCTGTTTTGATCTGCTTAGGATTGTTGAAAAGGAATTACTTCACTGAAGTTTAATGCTCACCTCGAAATATCCGACACCTGTATATCCTTTAGTGTTACGCTAACAAACGGATGTTGTCTTGCCCATTGGACTTTCATTCTCGTGAAGTAGTTGTGGCATTTGTGTGGTTAAGATTTCTTGTCAGAGTTTATGTTTTTACTTAGCTTGCAAACATTGCTCTTGTTCTCTCCTTTCTGTTATCTTCCTCGTCCACTCATTGGTGCTGTTTTCTGGTTGTGATGTTTCCGACCCTTTAGTACTCCTCGTGTCAGTCTGCTATATGCCACTCTAGAAGGTCGAATTAACACCATAATAATACATCGTTGCTGTTAGGTCTCAATCTGCGATTCGCACCCAACCGATTTTTGGTTGCTTTTAACGTTCTGATACCTGAAGAACTGTTATTTGGATCAGTTTATGCGTTCAACCGGCTTATCCACTCCTTTTCACTCTCTATTATGGCCATCACTTTCTTGGTTGCCTTCTTTATATTTGCAACGCTGCACTGTCTCGTAAAGGTATTGTTCGAACAATCCAATCTTGAAATCTCCCACTGTGCGGTTTCACGATACCGGCAAAGAGCTGCTGCTCGGTGGAGATATGGGTTGCTGGATTACGCGAACGATATCCTTTTGCTGCAAGGTGATTGCAAGACCGCGTATTCAATTGTGTCATAAGGTCATCATTAGGCATATGCTCCGCGGCAGAAGGATATATATTGTTTCTGCAGAGCCACTAACCTCTTGCTATCGATTTGAGCCCTGATAGTGAAGAACTGGAGATGAATACTTGACTCACCTGTGCCCTACGACGACATCAACAGCAACAGACATCTAGGCGTTCAAATTAGCTCACATATTGTAAAAGTGCTTTCTTGTTTTTCAACTCCCTCGGGTTAGTCGTCCACAGTTGGACAGTTTTGCCAATCGTCACCTATCCTCTCACGTGATTGGTTGATTGATCTCGGTCTATTCTGTCTGCTCACGCATGTCACTGTTCAAAACAGCTCGTCCTCATGCGGTGTGTACTAGCTTCCGTTTTGAGTGGGTCGTGGTTTGCGTGCTAATACCGCCGTCATCCGAAAAGCATTTATGTTGGCCATTGCTACCTACCTTTCTGGAACTTAAGTGAGCACAGAATGGCGGTAAACAGATAGGTTTATCAGATCAAAAAATAAAGCTGCGTATATTAAGTCGATATACCCACGTGCCGAAATACTTCCATCCGTTTGCCGAGGAGATCCCTGTCCTGTTTGTCGTATTTATGATGGCGTGGCGACTCAAGTGGCTATCCTTACCACGCAGTGGCCAGGTCTATATCCATACAATTACACCGGTCGCACCACAGCTTTTCAAGCTCTCACAGTAAACCTATATCCCACTGTCTCCATACCTGTTTGGTGCTTTCTAAACCCCTACGAGGCACTTGCTTGTCTCAATTGCTTACAAGATGTTGCACACGATCTGCTGCATCCCCTTGTTGGATCACTTGTCTAATGTGTGTCTGACGCAACCGTCTTTGGTGTGGTGCTGAGTGTAGTCTTGACCAGCAAAGGCCTTTCTCACCCGATAACATCTAACGACGAATGTTTACCTTTGTCGATCGGTTGGGGAATTGTTCCTACACGTTTGCTCAAAGCATTTGGGTCTTGCATAGGATCCCTCTTCTCTTTTCTTGTTATTAGTTCCTTTTAGTGTAACGGCCGTCACGGTTATGTGTTAGCGTTGCATGGATATGTGATTGCTGTGGTTGCCGCCGCCGCTACTACTACTACTACTACCACTACTTTTGCTGGCTGTTCAGACTTCCCATGCCGTCTCGTCTCTCATCTCTTCCTACGCCTGTAAGGGCCACTTATCTGATTTATACTCCCACCTTTATCTCCACGAGATGCGCTTCCGAGCTCCTTTGGTTTTTTATGTTCAAAAGCACAATCCATTAGGCCATCGTCTCACTCGGAGCTGTTCCTTCACTCCCACATCTCTTTAAAAATCCTAAGGTAGTAAATTTTGATCCGGCACTACGCATCGACACGATCGCTTCCCATTACGCCGCAGACTTGCATTATGTTCCTCCTAATTTACAGTGGCCGAGCCGCCTACCATTATGCTGTATCCCTTGGTCCGGGAAATTCTGTTGGTGCAACCTACTACATGACCTACCATGCTGTGCTCGAAAACCCGGACGATTATGTGGACGCCTTGAAAGGTGCCCGTATGGTTGCAGACGAGGTTAACGCACAATGGCGAGCGAATCGCTCCATTCCAAGGCGTAGCTCCTATCCTCCCCAAGACTATGTTTATCCCTATAGGTGAGTCGTTTTTTTACTTTGGATAATTATTTGGATCGTCCCTCAGTACTTCACTATTTGGCTACTCTGCTTATGCCTCGTATCTTTGGTGACTCATGTTGTGCAGTATTTGCCTTTTTACCCACATATAGATCCAGTGACAATCAGAGGACAGCATTTTTTCATGTATTCCCTTTACTACACATATCGGCTCTCACCTTTAACTTGATATCGCTCCAGCGATCTTTCTCGAGCTTTGTTTCCGTATGACAACCACTTTTCATTGACTCCACTCTTCTCTTTCCACACAGCGTGTTTTACGTGTTCTACGAACAATATTTGACCATTGTGAACGAAGCGGTAATCCAAATCGCTGTTTGCCTCCTCGCTGTGTCGGTGGTCACATTCCTGCTTCTGGGACTCAATCTGCTCGCAACGCTTATGGTTCTCCTTGGGGTGGCGTACATTGTGCTCAGTTTGCTCGCGATGATGGTCCTGTGGAACATCGACTTGAACGCTTTGTCTCTAGTCAACTTGGTTGTGGTGAGTCTCATTCGGGCTTTTCACTGGAAGATGTTCGGTCCCATTTATCCACTAGATTAGTCTTCCTTTCGAGGTCAGCCTTTGTTCTCCGCAGTGTGACCAACAAGATGGAATGGGTGACAGGATGCTTTGCTTCGGTACAGCACGGTGCTTGCATACTACTTTGGTGCTGATGTGGAAACAAATGCTAAATGACGCACTTATGTCGAAACCAAATAGAGTACAGCAAGCCGATAGACATTGTCTCAGTTAAACGCCAATCAGATACAATCAGGGAACTAGAGGAGAATTCGCTGACGTCGGGTACAATTCTGAGCCATATTCATGCACAGCGGCGTCTTAGTGACAGTGGGACCATCCGTATGACACGGTAAAACAATTGCCATGGAATGAATGCAACTCAACTAAAGACTTGTCATGCGGCTACGTTTAGTCTTTCTCCGACAGTTTTACTTTATTCGCGTCCATTTTCCTCTCCACCCTTCACTCCAATGCTGTTTGGATGTTCATGCAGTATAGATTTGCTGTTACCGTGTGTTCTGCCCGTTTAAACATAACTGCTCACTTCGACTGAGCCTTCACTTGGCCAAGAGTGATCCTAAAATTGCACTGCTAACCACCCTCACTCCTTTGGCGCTACTGGATCGTCCGCTTTCTTTGTTAGGCTCCATTTGTACTGCCTATGCGCTTTGCATTCGACCTTCTGTTTGGGTAGTGTCAGCTGTCTTAACTGTCCGTTTGCCGGATGATCTCTTACAGAAGAGGATTTTCACTCTCATTACAAGCCATTCACGGCACTCGTATGCGTCGCACTTCAGTGCTGTCAACTCGGCCGAACCACGCGATGTGAACATCGATTTGTTGCAACGCTTAGTGGCTGCACCCATTCGAGATATTTACGTTCATTTACAACTCCTCAGTGTTGTTCCGCTCCTGCTGGTCTGCATTGGACACCAGTTGCTGTCGCTACAGCACCACAGCGACTGATTTTGGTGTGAGTGTATCAAGCTACTCACTCGCCCCATCCTCGAATATTGCAGCATAATATACGGAAATATGAGAGTGACAGAATTGCTGAGGAGAACCTGCAGAGGTCATTTAGTAAACATCTGATTAGTAAACACACTGCTATGAGGTATCGAGAACATTGCAATTAACTTCATCTCGAACCACTTTGGATTCGATGATTGAAGCACAACTTGTTGCTGCTTTTCAACATGTTACACAAAATGACACATTCCAACCTGCCTACACTCAATTTACAATATTGCTCAACACGAGCGCTTCGCAATAAAGATTTTACATTGAATGTACTGAAGGCTAGAACGAACGTCCGCTCTAATTTCTTTATGGTCAGATACAATTATCTGTGGAATAAACTACCAATATCACTCAGGTCATGTGACAATGTAGCAACATTTAGAAGCAGACTTGCCAATTACCTTGATCTAACTACCCTAAGCTCTATATTCACATGGGAAAAATCCCTCGATGAGTTATTCCAAGAGGAGCCCAGAAACATCTCAACACCAAGGTTTTCATAACTAGGCTTTGGCCTCAATCATCCACCAGAATGTTAAGACATGAAACGCATGGCCCTATACTCCACCTATGCATGTCACCCATGCAAGAGCATATATACTTTTGTACAAATTGATCTGTGCCGTTAAAGACTCAGTTTCTCACCAAGAGAGATATACATATTATTATTATTATTATTATTATTATTATTATTGAATTGGCTCCTGGGTACTGTCTTCTCACATTGAGTCGTCGAGTGTTTCATCAGCTGGTTGGAAAGCTCCTACCGAGTCTAAGCAAACCTTCTCCATGATCTGTGTGAAATTTCGGGTAGTTATTTTATCCTATCTGCTATTTAATTTCTCCTGATTTACAGAAATAAGTATGCTACAACGCTGTTATCTGCTTGGGTTGTCAACGCCCATTAGGTGATCGGTTTCAGTTTAACTTATTGTATCGTTTTGCCTCATCTGTCGGCATATATCTGCTAGATGTTAATGCACCCCCTAGTCTGACCCATGCTTATTTACTCTTCTAGTTGTTTCGACTGTGCTAATCGAAATTGACGAAACGCTTCCCCCCACCTCCCATAGTACTCCACGCGCAGACATGTGTGCACGTGAGCGGAGACTGGGGACGAAACGCGTAACCTCACAAGACTGCGCTGAGACTCAGAAAAAGTTCGACCAACGACCCAACCTAATGCGAATATACATTCGATGGCTTCGTATGGCAGCGTGATATACAAACTATAGCGTAACGTTGATATTGGCAGGGCACATGAGTTGCTGCATAAGGGTTGTATCCTGGGAAAAACTCACTCGGTTCGCTGCGGCTTGAACCGGCAGAAGCATCAACGTCACTGGGAAGAGCTTAAGTGCTCTGTGCATTTTACGTTGATACATCAGAAATTTCCTTGAGGAGAGCTTAACTGCGCCCTGTTCATTTCGAGTAGCTGCATAGTGACGGTATCGCTAAGACATGCTCAGGCGAGCTCTGTGTAAGTTTCAAGAAGCTATGCGACCTCCACAGCAACCATCCGACGGCTAAGACTCCACGTTGCCTACTTTGTGATATGTTTTCCAAAACTTCGCATCATTAGTGTAAATGGTGTGACAGTTCTGGCAGACTCAGAACCGATGTTCATCCCTCCTGCATACAATTAGGGTCTTTTCCCTTCGAACTTCACTTTGAATATGGAACTGTGGGCTGCGCAGGTAATACCATCTATCTCAGTTGGTACACACGCGTCACTTGGCAGTTCGCATTCATCATGACTGGAGCATTTTTGAATCCGACGTTAACCGCTACAATGTGGACATTCTTTTGGTTCCCTTTAGCGCCGAATCTTTTGTGTGAATGTGATTCTAGCACTAGTCTCTCCTTAAATCCCGTTATTTCCCGGATTCGTCTTTTCTATAATCCTTCCAACGTCGCCCTCCTAACGTGTCGACCTGCACCCACTTTGCCCCACTTTTGCACTTGCGGTGCACACACACAGTATTATTATCGTGTTCTACACTTTCGATTGCCATGTCATGAGAAATGTGCAAACAATGTGGTACAAAGTGGTTTTCATTTGTTATACTTCACATTCGTTCCTCAGGCACAAATGTCAATTTCGGCTTTCCTTTCAACCGCGTATTTCTCGAATACTTTTTACTTGACTTTTCTCAAAGACAATACCCGCCTTGGTGCTTTCATCTTCAGAGATATTCCAGACTTAAGTCACTCTTGTGGTTCGCGTGCCTCTACTAATGCTGCTCGCTTGGGTTAGACCTAGGTGTTCGCCACTAGGTTACACAGATGTTCAAAGAAGAATGGGGATTCATCCTCTTTCAACTGCCAAGATCTGTGTCCATATACTGGCCATCACAAGCTTAACACCAATCCATCAGATTCTTCCTTACATCAGCTCTCCTTTGCTACTTTCTGTTGCCACTATAATGGAATCACGGAAATTAATTCTAAAGCGATTTCATGGGATTTCCCAGAGTTTTATTACCTTGAGTATGGAATCCATTCTTTTCGCCCGGTCATGTGCGTTTCCGTGCATCACAGCTAGGTTTGCTGAACACTTTCTTCTACTTAGTCTCTCCTGATGCGTTCAATTAAGGTTTTAGTCATAAGTAAACAGTTTATTACTCGACGGTTCGAGGCACAGTCCAACCGATTGGTCTGATCAATCTGTACAACGAGATCGCATGAAATAGTCAATTGTGCATGTTTTATATAACGAATCCCAAATGGGTAATTTAAGTGACTGGCAGTTTGCAGTTATCAGAGTGATTAAGAAAATGGGAACAATAACAAATGCAGATTTAGCCAAAAGTTCAATTAAAGTAATACGGCCAATCATGGAACTGTCCCCAGGGAACTTACTTCCATGCGGGGTATTCCCTCGATGGGTTTCTCCCACACTTTCATGCTCCAACTGACTGTGTGCCGGTGTGGCAAAATAGGATGTAAGCCATCAACTGTTTAACAAAAATTTTCTAAGGACTGTTTTATGCATGCATTGTGGGTGATGATGCCTCAGCCCGTTCCGACATGCGGTTCATACAAGTATAGCACTTTTTTGTTATATGCCAGCGAGTCAGTGGCAATATGCTTTGTATGGGTAAAGTTTTTAGCTTGGAAGCTGTAATCCGTCACCCCAAAGGATCAGCCTACTCCTGGCCAACAACAAACTAAGGAGACTGCGAGTCGCAATCCAATCACACGACCGGTACACCGAATCTCACTCGGAATTGCTTACCGCTTTGCCAAGCGTTGCTCACGGATCTTAGAGCCATAGTGTTCAACGCGTCAACCTATGAACGCTATACCTCGAGGTCCACCCCAGCTCAGGCTATCTCCATCTGAGGTGTCCAATCGAGGACGAAACCGGTTTTGGGGTATCAGGGTTGGGAAAAGCAAAACCGAATCACCAAGGAAGAATATAGTTATCAGGAATTAAAAAGCATAACACTGTTAACTACTTTTTGCAGATAGGCTAGTCACAGGTTCATTGTGCATAACGATGATGTGCAGAGAATTCGAGAGAAAGTAATGTTGCATTCTGGCCAGGGTTTTGTAAGGAATAAATAGTATTAAAGCTAATCCTAATGCATTTGACAGAGTCTACAGTTGTGGTTGCTTTATCCCAAAGGACGAACAATTGAAACTGTTGGAATCGATAGACAATCAGTTCAGTAATTTCAGACAATCGATCGCAAAAGAAGTGTCCGTTACTTATCGCTCAGTGGTGACATGAGACAGCAATACGAGATGTGCGGATGAGTATAGAAAGTTAAGGTATAGCAGGTTTTGAGTGTTATTGGAAATAAAACGCAGGGATAGAATAATTGAACAATGAACAATGATTTATCACGGGATAAAAGCAAGTGCTTGACATGTCCCGTAGGATGGTAGCGGTGAATATGATGCAATTAAAATATGTGTGGGTCATCTATCGAACGTCTGCCGAGATGAATACTTTGATAATTAACATCAGTGTCAAATGAAAAAGAAATATCGCGCATAAACATTCAGAAAGACACTGAGGCGCAGTGATAGTTGAGGTAAGGAGTGAGAAAATAAAATATGATCGCTCACTTAGGTCCATTTGATACATTAGTCCTGTTGAAAACATGCTTTGCGTAATCCACAACAGAGGAGCTTAGGTAACAAAATGTTGGGAGCTGAGGGCAACATCTAATCGTTTTTTGAAAACATGCAGGGTAGGAGAGGATACTACTGAGTCTGAGAGTGCGTTCCATGGTTTGCAAACTCGAATGGAAAAATAATTCAACAAATGGCTACCGTGGTCATTTGGTTTCAAATATGACCCGGTCCTTTCTCAACTAATCTATCGTCGTTCATTGGCAAATTTAAGATATGTTTTAATTTTGCTGGCGTCAGGAAAATCCTAATCATTTTGTTGAATATGCTCAAGTTTTTTTGTACATGATATACAACTAGGTGGCTTATTTCATATCAGGCTGATTCTTACAAGATAAAAGTTCACCTGTGACAACATTCGCATCACTCCCGCACGGGATGATCAGTATCCTTATTATCTCTTTTTCCACATCATTTTCATTTCCCCAGGGCATTGGTATCTCGGTGGAGTTCTGTGCCCACATCGTTCGTGCATTCACCATAAGCGTCGAACCAACACGGCTTGCTCGAGCCAAAGCCTCATTGGCAGAGATGGGCAACTCTGTGAGTTCGCTTTAGTTTTTCTCTCTTGTCATTTTCCAACTCTGCATTCATTCCCGTTAACTAACTTTTGATGGGGTGAGCATGGTTCGCTGTGCATATCTGGCGAGAGATCCGATTGCGTTACAGTGAGGTTCGTGCTTTGGTGATTAACGACAAGCTCTTCGGTCTCATCCATTGGAATGTCTATCAAATGTGACTTGCCTCTGCTAGCTCGACCATGTGCTCCGCATGTCTTAAACTCGATTGTTTCGATGCGTGTACTGTTTACTAAGACTGAACCTGTTGGGTCTAAACCAGAAGCGGTCAGTCAGTCACTCCGCAGATAAGTGTACATTGGCTCCCCTAAAGACCAAGTTAGCCTAACTGGATTGAACTCCTCGTCGGACATAATGGGGTCACAGTCAGTGGTGCTCTCTTGAGCTCCTCCGTAACATCAGGTGCTTGACTATTCTATGTGACAATTTTAATTCTAATTCATTGCCCTTGTTATTGTCATTGTCGACTACATGCGTCCTGGTATCTACATCCACCGCGCTCCGGTGCACGTATCAAAGCTAGTAAACTCAACTGAACTGCCAATTAAAACTCTGGATATCACAATTGGGTCGCTAAGGCATACGTTACGTCTGTGAACCGACGAGAAATTGATGTTTTCCGTCTGTTAAGCATCACGGACCCAAGCCGATTCCGTTGAATTAAGCCTCCTTGATGAGCCGCAAATCTGGCACTTTTTGGTTATTCTGCGTAACAGGTTGTATCTTGTTCGCTGCATCTACCTTATTCATTGCGCTTGTGTCTCCTTTCATTTCCACTCCGCAGATTCTTAGTGGTATCACACTGACCAATCTGGGCAGCATTGCTGTATTGGCCTTCGCCAAATCGCGACTTTTTCAAGTATTTTACTTCCGCATGTATTTAGGAATCACTGCCTTCGGAGCCTACACTGGTCTCATCTTCCTACCGGTGGTTCTGAGCTACATAGGTAAGAAAAAGTTATCTACCTACCGATCCGCTAATCACGCTTGCACGATTCGTCTATTTGCTGTGACTGCCGTGGACACGGCAAAGGATAACCCTGTTTCGGTCGAAGGAAAAGCAACGGATTTCTGATTAGTGGCATGAAATCGGGGTCATTTAGGTTTCATCTCTGTCACTAACTTGCTCAAGCTTTCCTACTCGCTTCATCCCACTGCCTTGCAAGAGTGTGGAAATGATTATGATAGATATAATCTTAGTGAGGAGATTATCACGGCCCGCATCCGGTGCCAATAACGTTTTCCCCGTTGTTTCCTAACAGTATTGCCGTTCAAGACGCATCCTCTTCTTGACTTCATTTCACACCCTAAATGCTATGTTGCTTTATGATCCTAGCCTCCGCCGTTGACTCTATGCGCACTCCTTAACCGTATCCTTTGTTTCTCTGGGGCGGCCGTTGGGTTTGTCTTGTCCTCCACCTCAATACATCCCCTCAGCGTGAACTCTTTTCCTGTGTGTTTGCCTACACACAATTGTTCAGCATTATCTCTCATCATCATCATCATCATGAGGCAATGTACTCTCAATATCCATCTCCACCGCTGTTTCAGGTCCTGGACTGAACAAGGCGCTAGCACACAAGAATTCGAAACGTCCACTTGAGCATGATCTCACGAATCACGTTACCGATGAAGATGATCACCGGAACCGCTGATTCATTTACTGAAAAGTACGGTTCGGAATTGGCGCCCATCTGTGATCAACCATTTCAAGGCCATTCGCCTCCATTTAGCCTCTTACTCGGCTCGAGTTTTCGAATTATGTTCCTTCCTTTCTATTCCTTTTGATTCGGCCTATTTTGTAAATCTAGTTATTTGCCGCCCATCGGTTTGATTTTCACCTATTCAGTTGAAACACTCAGTTTCATTTGGCTCTGGCCGTTTTATTGTTCGCGTCATTATGCGCGAACACTTGCTTTTACTTTCGATGCAACCGTTACTATTTTGTTAGTTCCACCCTCATTTTCTCTCAGGACCGATCTGTGTTACCCACATGCACACAGAGATATACATATGCATCGTGAATATCCCCTTTCATGTTCCTCTATCTGCCCAAAGCATATATTAGAAGAGTAGTAGGGGGAGTTGAATGGTATAGGTAGAAATTCGTCACATCTAGACTCACTCAGACGGCGGCCACACGCCCGGAAAAGCACTGTACGCGCGTTTCATCCTTTGGGGAATCATCAGCAGTGCGCATTCCATTGGACCCTGGTAGCGCTCGAACCTGCAGCTCGACTGTTGCCAGTCCGTGGTTGAGATGACTGAGTTACAGGGGACGGCAACGACCATCGTGAATAAGTTACTAGATGTGATATGGCGCCGTGGCTCAGTGGTCTCAACCACCGACTGACAGCAGTCGAGTTGCGGGTCCGAGCCCTACCAGGGGTCCGATGGAATGCGCACTGCTGATGATTCCCCAAAGGATGAAACGCGCGTACAGTGCTTTTCCGGGCGTGTGGCCGCTGTCTGAGTGAGTCTAGATGTGACGAATTTCTACCTATACCAAAGCATATTGTAGGATCGTTTTGATCTGACCGTATGCTCATCATATGGCCTGGAGCGTAGGTCACATTTATCTTTTTAGTGAGTTAAAGGCTTTACTCATCAGGTGGACTAATTCTGCTTATATTAGCAATTCAGTTGAGCAATCTTGCTCCACACACACACGAAAGCAGTGAATTCAGGTGTCCTGCCTCGAGTTACCATACTTGATACAATATTTATCAATAGAATGTTAGTGGTATTAACTAAAAAAGCGCTGAAAACGAATTAAACTGGAAATAAATCAGATCAGCGGGGTAGACAAATACCAGCGAACTTGCCACCACCGTCATGCGGGTCAAATTTTCTTCTGAATAATGGTAAAACTCGTACTCGGTATCTTTCTCATCGTGCCAGACGTTGCATCCATCGTTGACACATACCATTTGTCTACAGGCGATGTCATATTCCGACATGAACAATAATGGCTGTATGGCTAGCATTTTCTGTGTTCGTTTCTGGCATAACGTATTCTTCACAAGATTGTGCTGTACTGAAAGATATGTACGTGACAGATGCCAAGGCAATCAAGCACCAGCTGTCCGGGTCAGCCTGTCAGCGAGTTTCTGCATGGTTGCCTTGCTATATCGAGGTCCCAACAAACTACGCCGTCGACCCAAGCCAATTGAAATACCTCAGCTACTAGGAATAAGTGATGCGTGTTCAACAGGTGCCGCAATGTTTACAGTCACATACCAACTAAGTGCATTCAATATTACTCTAGATAGGGGCAATGTACGACAGCCATCGTGGGTCAGACTTGGGGTCGGTCTCCCAAGTGTCTCGTTGCCAGTGGCAAATGTGCCTCACCACATTACCATACTTTTGCGTCATTTTTCTAAAATGCGGAAGAAATCACTTTGTGGATCATTCCTCTCCGAAAATTGTTGGATACGCGACAAATCATCTTGCTTGTTCCGATTGCTGTGCTTCCTTTCATATTTCGCGTGTTGGCTTATCTACTGATTCGTATCTTATCCGCTATTCATTGAATTTGCTGATTGCTGGCAACATGGTTCATAGGCGTGACACATGAATTATCTAAAGAAGAAGTTGGTTTTGTAAGGGGAGGCCTTATGGCAACAGCGGCCGCTGTATTTGGTGTTTCTCAATTTGTCTACACAATTGTTGATGGACAGTGTGGAATTATGTCCAACCGCATCGGTGGGGTGCAGGATGAAGTATACACCGAGAGCCTGCACATCAGCCTGACATGGTTTCACCAATCAATAAATTGTGCTTTTCTATCAGAACCGCAGAAAAGCACTTCCTCCACCGGAAACAAAGATCTGCAAACCGTAAATCTGATAACGCGTGTGCTTTCCCACCTTGGGGTCAGTGATCTTCCCAAGATATATCGAACACTTGGAACTGATTACGACGAGCGCGTTCTGCCATCCATTGTGAACGATGCACTCAATGTTATTATCCCAAAGTTCAATGCAGGTACCAATAGAACAATTGTATTATACTGGTAAAAAGCTATATATATATATAATACACAACCTGTGGTACAGATATTGTGCCATCGGAATCATGGCTGAATAGGAAAACCGTATGAACAATAAGAAAAGAAACAAAAACAAAAGCTATTTTTGTCTAGTTTACCACTCACAATTTTTGAAATTTTTCAGTTTGTTTTTTAGGGGAAGGAAGAAGGGACACCGCAACACACCCATGCACGCGTCCGTTATTGACATCGACCTTGAGCCATGGCTTCCAAGGTCTTCAACTAGCAAGTATCCGCATCTCTTGGACCCAAACCAGGTAGTCGTCAACAACCGGCCGAGGCGAACTGCTTCGTCAGCTTTTTCATGCGGCTTCTCCAAATTGTAGGCTGTCCACCAGACCGTCTCTTCCAGCCTTGTACAGCAAATGCAAAAGACACACGACGCGCGTAACGCTGAACAGGCACGCGCAATAGTGTCCCAACCACCGCGGTTGTTGCAGTGAAACGGGCTTCTCAAATTAGTGGCTTCCATGTCCCAGGACATGCTGTCTAACTTCCACATTGCTTACTTGGTGCCGCCACCACACACTGTCAATGGACCGCATACAGTGGTGCTCGAAGACGGATAGCCTGCGCAAGTTATCTTTACGAATGGGCCAGGTCTCGCATCCGTACAGCAGTACAGCACGAACAGTTGCACAATAGACCCGCCCTTTGATTGAGAGACGAATATCGTGGCGACGTCACAAGTGCCTCAGCCTAGAAAAAGCGAGGCGTGCTCCCGAGATGCGCATCGAAATCTCGTCTCCAACAGCCCCGCCAGCAGTGATGCAACTTCCCAAGTAGACGAAGCTCTCCACAACCTCTAGTGTCTCACCACCAAGAGTGAGTGCAGGCAGAAGCACCTGATAGTCTTGGTAGAGAGCCTTTCATTTGGATGGCGAAAAGTACATACCATACTGTGATGCTTCAATCACCAAATGGTTTAGTGCAGGTTGGACAACGTGTGGATCGTCACCCAGCAAGACGATATCATCATAGTCCAAATCAACAACTCGACTACCTGGGAGGAGCTAAACGCCAGCGTTCAACGAATCGCCCAAAGTGTTCTTCAGGACATCCTCAATGGCAGAGTTGAATAGGAACGGAGCGATAGGGCATCCTTGTCGAACTCCACCGGAGACCACAAAGGTAGGCGTAAGGTTGCCATAAGCCCTAACCCCTGCCTGTTGTCAGACTACAGAGAGAGCGCAGTATGAAGGCGAACTTCTCGGGGACACCATCCCTCAGTAGAAAGTGCTGTAACTTAACAGGTCCCGCAGGTTGATCACAGTGAAAATTCAAAGTACGTAAGATTGTCAGCAAATTTAGGTTCATGCTGGTGGACTCACTGCGGTATTCGTAAGTGTAAATCCACTGTAAGTCAAGTTATGTTCGATAACACACATGTGTATCCGTTTACACACCGTATACTAAGTGAACAGAAATAAGATCAAGTAATACAGGTGTCGTAGTGCATCGTTGAGGCGTATTTTAAAAACGGGTAGCATGGGCGCAGAAATGCCAAGTTCAAAGCGCCTTCCAGAGGTGACAAATCCGAACAGCAAAATAGTTCCGGCGGTATTCCAGCCAACTTTATTGCGTATCCAGTTTCAGTTAGTGACCCCTCAATTTTATGTTGCGGCTTACTTTCAGTAGGTGGCGGCAAGCGTGATCGGGGTTTTTCATGATATGGAACGTCAGAATGAGGGCGCCCCGTATCCGGCGTTAACTTCCGCTGTACACTCCTAAACTTTTCAATCGCATATGGTACAGCAGATGGAGCATGGCCTTCACCTTTTTGATTTTCCTTCGCTGTGCAGTATCCATTATAACCAGTTCGCGTTCTAACCAGGGTTGGCACACCTGAGTCGTGCACTCCACCTGGGGCCTCACATACGCATTGAGCATATGGGAGATAATAGAGGGGTCGAATCGCCTGAATGCCCTCCGTAAGAGACCAACATGTGGCTTAACGGTTTTGGATGTCTTCAAAGGCCGCGCCGAACAGCTGAGATCGCCTTGCATCACCACCCCAAAATCGCGCTCCTGCGAGGCGGTTTTCAGCACGTGGTCTCCAAGCTTATATACGTAAGTGGGCTTGTGGCGTACATGTACAGTATTGCACTTGTCCGCGTTAAACGGAAGTAGAGTTGTTTTTGACCATTCATAGGCACGGTCTAAGTCATTTTGCACCACATCATGATCGTCCTGACAACTGATCCCCCGTCATATCTTGGTGTCATCGGCAAAAGCAGGAACTTCGACTCGATGACACGCGCCGTGACGTTGATGAAGACCAGGAATAGGCGCGGCTCTAACACAGATCCCTGTGGGACCCCGCGGCCCACATCAATTGGATCAGAGCACAAACTACTACCTCGAACCTGAAGCCGCCGCTGAAGCAGGAAATTTCCGATCCATCCAAGGACCGGGTCCCCAATTCCGTATGCATGCAGCTTTTGGAGAAGGATTCGGTGATCTAAGCGGTCGAAGGCTTTAGAAAAGTCGAGGTAGATGACATCAGTGCCGGTCCCACTGTCGGCTATTTCGGTCCAACTGCCACGCGCAATCAGCAGATTGGTAGTACATGACCGATGCTGACGGAATCCGTGTTGTTCCTGTGCTATGATGTTAGACCTTTCAAAGTAGCCCATTAGAGCCTCAGCTATGATTGACTCCATCACCTTTGAGAGCACCGGGAGGAGAATCACTGGGTGATAGTTGACGGGCTCCGAACGGCTACCACCTTTGAAAATTAGGGTGATGATACCTTGCTTCCACATGTTAGGGACCTGCTGTGCATCCAGGTATCTTTGGAAATGCCGTGCTAATGGCTTGGCTATCCTCCTAGCTGCCACCTGAAGCGCTTTTGGGGGAATGTTGGCAACACCGAAGGAACTAGAGGTGCGCAACGACAACAGCTTCCTCAAAACTTTCGCTGAACTAAAATTGACTGTACGAATATTGGCATCTGGGGGAATAGGACAGGTATGTG